AATTGGTTTGTAAGACGTCCTCAATGACATTCTGTTTCTGGATCCCACCATGCATGCCAACAATTGATCCCGCTTCCGAATCGCCATCCGAATCGCGGCTCGATGGTTTGCTCGAGGAATCAATGACATTCTGCTTCTGGATGCCACCATGCAACGCTTTACCAAAAGGAAATTGTGGTAAATTTGAGACATAAATTAAAAAATAACCCAACCCCTTTCCAAAACCAACTTAAAAATGGATTATATATGTATTACCAATATAATCTATATATTTTTATATTTTTATATATTAATATATTTTTAGATTTTTACGGAATTTTCGTCGCCACCAGAAAACAAGCTGCATTTTGCAAATCCAACGTATGGCCGTTATGCATCTTAGACATTATATTGGTCTTTCAAATATTTATAGCCCTTAAATTGTGTCACCTTCTAACTAAACTATTGAAACGATCTTATTTATGCTCCATATTTAAGGTGTTTTAAATATACTTAAACATTGGAGATTGGATTGCTCAGCTTACTTCAAAATTGGTTGGCAAGCTGCTAAGCCATTAAATTAACTTTCATTTGTGAATAATTCCTCCATTTACTACTATAAGAAAATTATAAATTAAAATTAAACATCATGGATCACTTACATTCCACATTGATAATAAATTGGTCCATCAAATCAGGAGAATCCGAGTGCGAGCACATTAGTACCATCTTATTGTGCTTGGGCGTCAAGTGAAACTGAATTTCCTTTATTTTATTATGTAATATGTAAGTATCGCTGATCTTGATTTGATCCTGCGGTTTGCTGAAGTTCCACATTGGCTCTCCATTAAAAACGACGCATTGGGCTTTAAACTCTGTTCCCTCTTTGAAGTAGCCCTCGCTATTTGGTTCCGAAATCAAGTTGATGAAGGGCTTCATTTCTGCCAGAAATTCAAACAGAACAAAAGTATTTATTTAGAAGACAGGAAAGGTCTGTGAGATATTCGTTACTTGGGCGTAATATTTATAATCTTATTAAAAAATAAAGTTTTCTTATAAAGTTTTTTCGCAAACATTTTTTTTTCATTCCGCTTACTAAAAATTGGGTTTTAAAGAAAAAAGAAGGCAAGACATTTTTTCAGCCTTTGTAAGCATTGGATCAGGATCCCAATATTTATCACCCTCAATATTTACAATCAGATAACATTCTTGAAAGTCGTTAGATTTATATTATACTCCTCGAAAGAGTGATATTTCTGCAAAGTCGGTGGAACCAAGTGTGATCGGATTTTTTAATTTCTCTGTTGTGGGCGATTCCCTGTGCCTCGATCCTTCCACATAATCGAAGAGCTTATAATCCTTATCCTTACTCTGATTATTGGCCAGGACATCAATCACAAAGCCGCAGATCAGTGCACAAGCCACAAACTTTTTAAAGAACATTTTCGGCTTTTTTTTTTATTAATTGTTTCTTATCCCGAATTTATAATTTGTTTTCAATTTTAGGCAGAAAAACTAGTGTATTTAGGCGAACGCCTCAATGAAGACTGAAGTAAATTGAAGTCTGCCGATCAGGCTGGGCGGCAAAAAGCTCTGCTCCCTTGTCGTAAATTAATTCTGATTTGCGACAAATAAGCGTTTGTGATTTAGCAGCGATGCCTGAATTTGGAACATGGGGGCTGCTAAAAAATTGAATTAGAAATAAAGTCCTTGACAGAGCGTGTGCCAAAATGTATATGTAGGGATACTTCAGTGATGTTTCTGGAAAATTTGATAAAATTTGTATTCACAGTTTTTGAGTAAATCGCATTACAGTTTGCGCAGTTTAAAGGGATTTAAAAGTGCCGCCCGCTCCATTACATAAACCAATTCGTTAGCCATGACATGAACCAACTTATTTTCTGTCGTTTAAAATACCAATCGACGCTAACTTTTGAAAAATTCCTACGCCCCTCTCAGAGCGTGTGCCAAGTCAAGAGATATTTAAAAAAAACTTCTAAGCAATCGAACTAAGTTTAAGGAAAGTTTCAATCAAGTCCTATCCACAGTGTTCTTGTAATCAATACTTGCACCACACTTGAGCAGTTCCAGACAGCAACCATCACAAAAATATCACGTCCATGACAACAACCATCACAAAAAAACATTAATTCGACGCTAACTTCTGAAAAAATCCTACTCTCTGTGAGGGGGCGTGTGTCCTGTCAAGAGAAATTTTAAACTTCGGCAAGCCGAAGTTTATATATCCCTGCAGTTATCACAAATCAACTACATTTCGATTTTTATAATTTAATTAAGATAATAATTAATAATTCCACATTATCTAAATACTACTAAATCCCAAAGAACATCAACAAAAAATTAAAAACAACAATGTTATAATTTTTTTGAATTGTTTTTCCGATTGTTCCTATGGGAGCTATATGATATAGTCGCCCGATTCGGCTCGTTCCGACTTATATATTACCTGCAATAGAAAGACTACTTTTGGGAAAGTTTCAAGCAGATAGCTTTAAAACTGAGGGACTAGTTTGCGGAAAAACGGACAGACGGACATGGCTAGATCGACTCTCCTGGTGATGCTGATCAAGAATATATATACTTTATAGGGTCGGAAATGTCTCCTTCACTGCGATGCAAACTTTTGACTGAAATTATAATACCCTCTGCAAGGGTATAATGATATCTAACTAATATTTCATTGAAAGCTTTACTTTATTGTCTTTAAAGTGTATAATTATCATGAATTGTTATTCATTATATTGGTAAGATAAATAAATTGCAGTGAATTTTAGACTTACTTTTCACGTCAAATGAATCTCTAAGCTATAGCTTTACCTAAAAATGTTTTTTTGTATAAAAATAATTTATAACTTCAAATTAGATTAAATTGCTATAATACAAAGTCATGAGTCAATACAATGTTAATGCAACACAAAAGGGGAAGTAATATTCACATATTATTAGATCTGCACACAATTTACACTTCGGATCTTCCAAACCCAGTTGCTCGTGGTACACTCCTGGCCACATGTGCAGATGACACTGCATTTCTTGCAGCTGGTAGCACCACTGCGTCTGCCTCCCGACGGTCCAGACATTCTTGGACCAATTTGAGTGCATGCCACATTTGCTCTCCCGTCTGGCCGTTCGCATAGCCTTTACATTGATGGGAATAGGCTCGAGCACGGAGATAAGGTGACGTACCTCGGAGTTACCTTGGACCGTCGTCTTTGTTGGAAGGGACAAATTGATCGAGTTTGTGGATCAGCAAGACCAATACTTGACAAAATGGACTGGCTCCTTCGTCCAGGTAGCTGCCTGACGATTTGTAAATCCATTTTACTAACAATTTAGTTATAATTGATTTAAGAGAAAAAACTAGAGTATCAAATCATTTAAAATCATCATCATGTAATCAGTCCACCAACTAGTTTCAAAGATAAGAGGTAATATTAGTGGTATGTCGAGGCGCTATTGAATTCATTTTAAACGTTACTTAATCGTAATTAAAAACAAGAAAGGAAAGCTAACTTCGGGCGGAGCCGAAGTTGATATACCCTTGCAGAATACTCTATAATTATATTCTCCAAAATTATTCCTATGATGCATTCTTAATACTCATAAAAAATCCAAACTTCCTATCTTTAAAAACACCAAAGTTATGGCATTTCCAATCGTTCAGTTATATGGCAGCTATAGGATATAGTCGGCCGATCCTAATGAAATTTGGTAGGTCGGATTGATTGGCCAAATATAAAACCCATAAAAAAAATCCCAACTTTCTAACTTTACAAACACCAAAGTTATGGCATTTCCGATCAATCAGTTATATGGCAGCTATAGGATATAGTCGGCCGATCCTTATGAAATTTGTTAGGTCGGACTGATTGGCCAAAAATAAAACCTATAGAAAATCTCAACTTCCTAACTTTACAAACACCAAAGTTATGGCATTTCCGATCAATCAGTTATATGGCAGCTATGGGATATAGTCGTCCGATCCCGGCCGTTCCGACTTATATACTGCGTGCAAAGGAAAGAAGGGTGTGTGCAAAGTTTCAATTCGATATCTTTAAAACTGAGAGACTAGTTCGCGTAGAAACAGACAGACGGACAGACAGACGGACAGACAGACGGACAGACGGACAGACGGACAGACGGACAGACGGACATGGCTATATCAACTCAGGAGGTGATCCTGATCAAGAATATATATACTTTATAGGGTCGGAGATGTCTCCTTCACTGCGTTGCACACTTTTGACCAAAATTATAATACCCTCTGCAAGGGTATAACAAGAGAGAACGCTATAGTCGGGTGCCAGACAGACGGACAGACAGACGGACATGGCTATATCGACTCGGCTAGTGACCCTTATCAAGAATATATATACTTTATAGGGTCGGAAACGCTTCCTTCTAGCTGTTACATACTTTTGCACGAATACAATATAATATCATATATATCATAATATCATCAAAACTGTGGCCACAGCTTGTGGCTTGTGGGCGTCAGAGGGGGCGTGGCACCATTTTGAAACAAACTTGCGCTGCGTAGGAACTCCTAAAATCTACACGCAAAATGCCAATCTTCTAGCTTTTATAGTTTCTGAGATCTCAGCGTTCATACGGACGGAAAGACGGACATAGCTAGATCGACTCGGCTAGTGATCCTGATCAAGAATATATATACTTTATAGGGTCGGAAACGCTTCCTTCTACCTGTTACATACTTTTGCACGAATACAATATACCCTTTTACTCTACGAGTAACGGGTATAAACATCAAAGTTATGGCATTTCCGATCGTTTCCGATCGGCTCCGCCCGAAGTTAGCTTTTCTTTCTTGTTATACCCTTGCAGAGGGTATTATAATTTCAGTCAAAAGTTTGCAACGCAGTGAAGGAGACATTTCCGACCCTATAAAGTATATATATTCTTGATCAGCATCACCAGGAGAGTCGATCTAGCCATGTCCGTCTGTCCGTCTGTCCGTCCGTCTGTCCGTCCGTCTGTCCGTCCGTCTGTCCGTCTGTCCGTCTGTCCGTCTGTCCGTCTGTCCGTCCGTTTCTACGCAAACTAGTCCCTCAGTTTTAAAGCTATCTGCTTGAAACTTTCCCAAAAGTTGTCTTTCTATTGCAGGTAGTATATAAGTCGGAACGAGCCGGATCGGGCGACTATATCATATAGCTGCCATATAACTGAACGATCGGAAAAGCCATAACTTTGGTGTTTTTAAAGTTAGGAAGTTGGGATTTGCTATGGGTTTTATTTTTGGCTAATCAATCCGACCTGCCAAATTTCATAAGGATCGGACGACTATATCCTATAGCCGCCATATAACTGATTGATCGGAAATGCCATAGCTTTGGTGTTTGTAAAGTTAGGAAGTTGGGATTTTCTATGGGTTTTATTTTTGGCCAATCAATCCGACCTACCAAATTTCAAAAGGATCGGCCGACTATATCTTATAGCTGCTATATAACTGATTGATCGGAAATGCCATAACTCTGCTGTTTGTTAAGTTAGGAAGTTGGGACTTTTTATGAGTATTAAGAATGCATCATATGAATAATTTTGGAGAATATAATTTATAGAATATTCTGCAAGGGTATATCAACTTCGGCTCCGCCCGAAGTTAGCTTTCCTTTCTTGTTTTATTTTATTTTACTGGAATCACTTGTTATCAGGCCAATTTGATTGTAGTTTGACATACAAATTAACCATATGGTTTCTTTTCGCTTTCATAAAAAATTAGAGATTAAATTTATGGAATATTTGGGCAGAATATGTTTTGATTGGCCTGGTTTATTATTTGTATGTCAAATTAAAATAAAGTGAAGAAATCTATACGCACATGGCGCAGTTTTTATAAAAGCGAAAAAAACCATAACAAATCATAACTGATAACAAGTGATTCCAGAAAATAAAGCCTGAAATAATTTTATTTGTATACCCTTGAAGAGGGTATTATAATTTTGGTCGAAAGTGTGCAACGCAGTGAAGGAGACATCTCCGACCTTATAAACTATATATATTCTTGATCAGGATCGCGACCTGAGTTGATATAAGCATGTCCGTTTGTCCGTCTGTCTGTCTCTACGCAAACTAGTCTTTCAGTTTTAAAGATATCGAATTGAAACTTTGCACACACCCTTCGTTCCTTTGCACGCAGTATATAAGCCGAAACGGCCGAGATCGACCGACGATATCCTATAGCCGCCATATAACTGATTGATCGGAAATGCCATAACTTTGGTGTTTGTGAATTTAGGATTTTTTATGGGTTTTATTTTTGGCCAATCAATTCGACTTACCAAATTTCATAAGGATCGGTCGATTATATCCTATAGCTGCCATATAACTGATTGATCGGAAATGCCATAACTTTGGTAAAGTTAGGAAGTTTGGATTTTTATGAGTGTTAAGAATGCATCATATGAATAATTTTGGAGAATATAATTTACAGAATATTCTGCAAGGGTATATTAACATCGGCTCCGCCCGAAGTTAGCTTTCCTTTCTTGTTTTTCACTGGAATCACTTGTTATCAGCCCAATTTGATTGTAGTTTGACAAAAAAATTAACCATATGGTTTCTTTTCGCTTTCATGGGCTGGGGGAGGCCTTTGGATGTTATCTGGAAACACGGCGGTGTAACGCTAACGTTAGCCCGCAATTACCAGAAATTTCGCTATATAAGGTGGATGGGGCGATCGTTGGCAGATGAAAATGTTTCGAGTGTTACTGATCCTCCCTTTCAGGCCAGGTTCCATGTGATGAAATTCAACCGCGGCACCTGGGAACCCACGATTTACAGCATTCTTTCGCCGGACTTTTGCGCCATAATGTTCAACGAGAATATATACTGGTTCACGAATTGGAACAAAAACATTGCGAACCGCGCGGAGATTGAGGAGAAGTGCATCAATACGAAGGACGTGGGTGCAGTGGTATAATTTATTATTTATTTTTCACTTATATGTATCCCTGCTCTAGACCGTTATTACGTACAATCCCTTTCTGATGAGCATGGAGCTGGACAATGTGCGAATCCCCAATGTGCATGGTCGCTATAAGGTGGTGTTCACCTTCGAGGCATTCGACGAAAATAACGAAAGACGCCCGACATCCTTGTGCTTCGAAATTAGCGGCCAGTCCGAGAAGATAAACTGATGACAAAGCGTTTCTAAATGCTCATCATACATTCCACTGCGCAAAATTCTGACCTTGTCCTCTATTCGCAATTAATCAAAGCCAGAAAAGCCTTGGATTTCCAATAAAATAATGATATTTTTCATTGAAAGCTTTACGTTATTGTCTTCAAATTGTATAATTATCATGAATGAGAATTGGTAAGATATTTATCTTGCCGTAAATTTTAAGAACTTAACATACTGAAATGAATTTCCAAACTGTAACTTTACCTACAAATGTTTTCTGTATAAAAATAATTTATAACTTCAAATTAGATTAAATTACTATAATCCAAAAATAAAATTGACATTTTTAATGTGTGTATATATTATTCAAAGCCTTCAAGATTGGCCATTACATGTCTCAATTTTTTCTTTCGCTATCAGCAAACGAGGCACATTTAACTGGAACTTAGTCGTAAGTATTTAGCGCTTCAATTCTACTCGTTGTCATTGGTTTCGGATGGTTTCGAGCCTGTAAAAATGACAAAACAAGAAGAGGAAATGTGAGAGATTTGAGACCGAGTACTTAAGCTGTTGATAAGCGCAGAGTAAAAATAATGAGACTCACCGCCAATAGACAATCGTCCGGTAGCTCGAGAAACCACAAACAGCAGGACCACCAGGACCAAAACAGTCAGGACCAAAACAGTCAGGACCAAAACGCCAATGGCCACCTGCATGCTCGGTGCTTTGCTCGAGGAATTTGTTTGCAAACCGGGGTCCACCACGTCATCCGGTACGTCATCAATGACAATCTCTTTCTGGATGCCACTGTCTTCCCACGCTTTATCTAAAAGGAATTGTGGTACATTTGAGACATAAATTAGAAAATAATCCAACCCTTGTCAAAACCTACTTACAAATGGAGTATTAATGTATATCAAAGGAAAATATTAATGGGCTTTGAATTGTGTCACCTTCCAAATGAACTATTTAAAATTATCTTGAGCTGGCCTGCATATCCATGACTTAAGGTGTTTTAAATATACTTCAAAGTTGGATTGCTAGCCGTTCAGACATTTAAATAACTAGGGTTGTGAGTTTATTCCACCGTTAAACCGTAAGAAAATTAAAAACTAAAATTAATCTCTAAGATGACTTACAAACCAAATCGATAATTAAATTGGCCGTCAAGTAAGGGAATCCCCCTCCTGAGCACGTTAGTTCCAGTTTATCGTGCTCGCGCGTTATTTGAAACTGAATTTCCTGCATTGAATATAACTTTTCATCTTTATAGATACTTTGACTGTGCATATGGAGATCCTTGATTTGATCCTGCGGTTTGCTGAATATCCACCTTGCCAGGTCACTACGGAGGAGGCATTGGGCTTTGAACTCCATTCCCTCCATAAAGAGGTTTACGTTATTTGGCATCATAATCAAGCGGATGATGGGCTGTTTCTCTGCCAGAAATTCAAACAAAACGAAAGTATTTTATTAGAAAACAGCAGAGGTCTGTGAGATTAATCATATGTAAAAAATAAGGTTTAATAAAGTTTACCAAGTAACAAATTATAATATCTAATATTGAAGTATTGAAATTATAAGTATAATCAAGTTTTATGATTGAACTATCATATAAATTTTGATGATGCTGACAAACATTGTCTCTAGTTTTTACAAAGTGATCGGACTATCCTAATTTGTGCCACTCTAATTTATTTTAAGTTGGTTGTAAATTGGAGTAAAAATTTACTTGTAAATGGCAGTTTTGTATGCATTTACTGTCCAGAATCACTACAACGTATTTATAGAATAATATGGGATTGATTAATAGAAAAAATGGGATTGATTTTATTTTACCAGTTTCTTGAGAGGAAAATATTTCTACGAGGTCGGTAGAGGTCGTTGTGGACGGGCTTTTTGATGTCTCCGTTGAGGGCGATTCCCCGTGCCCCGATCCTTCCGCATCAAAATCAGAATCATCCTCAAGGGTTATCCTGTTGGCCAGGACACCAGTCACAAAGCCGCAGATCAGTGCACAGGCCACAAACTTTTTAAAGAACATTCTCGCTCAATTTGTTATTAATTGTTTCTTATCCCGAATTTATAATTTGTTTTCAATTTTAGGCCGAAAAACTAATGTATTTAGGCGAACGCCTCAATGAAGACTGAAGTAAATTGAAGTCTGCCGATCAGGCTGGGCGGCAAAAAGCTCTGCTCCCTTGTCGTAAATTAATTCTGATTTGCGACAAATAAGCGTTTGTGATTTAGCAGCGATGCCTGAATTTGGAACATGGGGGCTGCTAAAAAATTGAATTAGAAATAAAGTCCTTGACAGAGCGTGTGCCAAAATGTATATGTAGGGATACTTCAGTGATGTTTCTGGAAAATTTGATAAAAATTGTATTCACAGTTTTTGAGTAAATCGCATTACAGTTTGCAGTTTAAAGGGATTTAAAAGTGCCGCCCGCTCCATTACATAAACCAATTCGTTAGCCATGACATGAACCAAATTATTTTCTGTCGTTTAAAATACCAATCGACGCTAACTTTTGAAAAATTCCTACGCCCCTCTCAGAGCGTGTGCCAAGTCAAGAGATATTTAAAAAAAACTTCTAAGCAATCGAACTAAGTTTAAGGAAAGTTTCAATCAAGTCCTATCCACAGTGTTCTTGTAATCAATACTTGCACCACACTTGAGCAGTTCCAGACAGCAAACATCACAAAAATATCACGTCCATGACAACAACCATCAACCATCGGCAAGCCGAAGTTTATATACCCCTGCAGTTATCACAAATCAACTACATTTCGATTTCTATGCCTATAATACTAAAAACAATGAAGCTATGACGATTTTGCGCTGCATTTTGTCTATGTTTCTATGACAGCTATATGATATTGTTGTCCGATTTTAATTTAATTAAAGCCGTAATTCCACATTATCTAAATACTAACAAATTCCGGAGAACATAAAAAAAAAAAAAAATAAATAAAAAACAACAATGTTATAATTTTTTTGAATTGTTTTTCAGTTTGTTTCTATGGGAGCTAAATGATATAGTCGCCCGATCCGGCTCGTTCCAACTTATATATTACCTGCAATAGAAAGACAACTTTTGGGAAAGTTTCAAGCAGATAGCTTTAAAACTGAGGAACTAGTTTGCGTAAAAACGGACAGACGGACATGGCTAGATCGACTCTCCTGGTGATGCTGATCAAGAATATATAGTGGGGAGCAAAGGTGATTCCACGATCAACATTTTCGTGTTTGAGCGCGCATAAAAAAGAAATCATTCGTTTATTATTAGTAAATGACAAAACCTTTTTTTTCTTGAATATCTATATTTATTTGTAACAATTATGCGTAAATAGCAAAATAGAAACAGAGGCAATGGCATAGGTATAATTCAAAAACAAAAAAAAAATGGCATGTACTCAGTTTTGTACTATCCGTGAAAGAATAGAAGAAATGCATTATTAATACTTTGTCCATAGACCCTTATTTTCTATGACATTTTTTATACGTTCTGGCATGCTCGCAACTAGATTTTCAACAATTCCTTTCGGAATATTATTCCACTCTAGTTCAATACGCCCCCAAAGATCGTTTAGGTTGGATGGGGCTGATTGATACAGTCCGAGCCGTCGCTTCACAATTGACCATAGGTTTTCAACTGAATTGAGGTCGGAATTTTGCGCTGGCTTAAAATTTTGGTTTCCAAGCCATTCTTTTACATTTTTCGCAGTGTGCTTGGGATCCCCATCTTGCTGAAAAGTTTTATGCTCTGGATACGCACACTGGTCAAGAAAATTGGGAAGCTGGGCCTGCAAAATTCTTAAATAACCTTCCTTATGTAATCCCGTCAATTTTGTGCAACGGTCCAACGTTCTAAAACGTGAAGCTCCCCCAAGCCATTATATTGCCTCCTCCATGTCTTGCCGTAAATTTTAAGAAATCGTCATACTTTTCATGTCAAATTAATTTCTAAACTGTAAATTTACCTACACATTTTTGTTGTATAAATATAATTTATAACTTCAAATTAGATTAAATTACTATAATTCAAAGTTATGAATCATACAAAAGCAATACAATGTTAATGCAACATAAAAAGGGAAGTAATAGACACACATGATACCCATTTATCACTCCAATTAAAAGCTTCATCACAACTTATTTCCAACTATATATTTTTACTTAAAATTACAAAAAATTAATTGATTCAAACTTAGCAAGCATAGGAAATAAGCAAGAATAGTTTCTTATCCCGAATTAAATTAAGACGAGAATGAAAATAAAAATGGCTAGACAAAATATAAACAATAAAATTTACATTTTTAATGTATTATTCATATTTGATATAAATTCATGGCCTTGAAGATTGGCCATTACATGTCTCAATTTTTTTCTTTCGCTATCAGCAAACGAGGCACATTTAACTGGAACTTATCCGTAAGCATTTGGCGCTTGAATTCTGCTCGTTGATATTAGTTTCGGATGGTTTTGAGCCTGTAAAAATGACAAAACAAGACGAGCAAATGTGAGAGATTTGAGACCGAGTACTTAAGCTGTTGATAAGCGCAGAGCAAAAATAATGAGACTCACCGCCAATAGACAATCGTCCGGTAGCTCGAGAAACCACAAACAGCAGGACCACCAGGACCAAAACAGTCAGGACCAAAACGCCAATGGCCACCTGCATGCCGAGAATTGATCCCGCTTCCGAATCGCCATCCGAATCGCAGCTCGGTGCTTTGCTCGAGGAATTGGCTTGCAAACCAGGATCCTTCACGTCATCCGGTACGTCATCAATGACAATCTCTTTCTGGTTGCCACTGTCTTCCCAACCGAAAACTTACAAATGGAGTATAAATGTATATCAAAGGAAAATATTAATAGGCTTTGAATTGTGTCACCTTCCAAATGAACTATTGAAAATTATCGTGAGCTGGGCTGCATATCCATGATTTAAGGTGATTTAAATATACTTCAAAGTTGGATTGCTAGCCGTTCAGACATTTAAATAACTAGGGTTGTGAGTTTATTCCACCGTTAAACCGTAAGAAAATTAAAAACTAAAATTAATCTCTAAGATGACTTACAAACCAAATCGATAATTAAATTGGCCGTCAAGTAAGGGAATCCCCCTCCTGAGCACGTTAGTTCCAGTTTATCGTGCTCGCGCGTTATTTGAAACTGAATTTCCTGCATTGAATATAACTTTTCATCTTTATAGATACTTTGTCTGTGAATATGGAGATCCTTGATTTGATCCTGCGGTTTGCTGAATATCCACCTTGGCAGGTCACTACGGAGGAGGCATTGGGCTTTGAACTCATGTCCCACCCAAAAGCGGCCTATGCTATTTGGCTTTGAAATCAAGCGGATGATGGGCTGTTTCTCTGCCAGAAATTCAAACAAAACGAAAGTATTTTATTAGAAAACAGCAGAGGTCTGTGAGATTAATCATATGTAAAAAATAAGGTTTAATAAAGTTTACCAAGTAACAAATTATAATATACTGTACATTATTTATATTGCTTACATTATTTGCTTTGCTTCGACCTAATATTGAAGTATTGAAATTATAAGTATAATCAAGTTTTATGATTGAACTATCATATAAATTTTGATGATGCTGACAAACATTGTCTCTAGTTTTTACAAAGTGATCGGACTATCCTAATTTGTGCCACTCTAATTTATTTTAAGTTGGTTGTAAATAGGAGTAAAAATTTACTTGTAAATGGCAGTTTTGTATGCATTTACTGTCCAGAATCACTACAACGTATTTATAGAATAATATTTATAACCAAATAACTGTCTTAAAAATGGGATTGATTTTATTTTACCAGTTTCTTGAGAGGAAAATAGTTCTACGAGGTCGGTAGAGCTCGTTGTGGACGGGCTTTTTGATGTCTCCGTTGAGGGCGATTCCCCGTGCCCCGATCCTTCCGCACCAAAATCAGAATCATCCTCAAGGGTTATCCTGTTGGCCAGGACACCAGTCACAAAGCCGCAGATCAGTGCACAGGCCACAAACTTTTTAAAGAACATTCTCGCTCAATTTGTTATTAATGGTTTCTTATCCCGAATTTTAAATTTATTTTCAATTTAAGGCAGAAAAACTAGTTTGTTAAGGCGAACGCCTCAATGAAGACTGAAGTAAAGTTAAATCCGCAAATCCGAATGGGTTTGGTGTTCCCCTTGTCGTAAAAAAATGTTGCTCTCTAATCTTTAATGTATTATTGTTGCCATTGCTCGCAGTTTTTTTTCGTAATCTAGGCTTGCGAGTGCTTAAAGTCCCCCAAAAACCAGAAAGCTGCTGTATAAAATGGCATAATATTTGGGGATGACAATATTAGTGGTGAAACTAAGTAGTTTAGTTGGAGAACCTAAAGTCCAAAAAATTGAGAATCCTTGGGAGACACCATAAAAGTTCAAGGAACGATTACAACCACAAGGATTTTGTATTATAAACTTTAATATAAGAGTTAAAGGGCATATTGTAAAGTAGTTTACAGATTAGAATCAGACGTTATTGACCCTTTCAATTGTTATTTTCTGAATCAGCACTAAGCTAGTAAAAAATAAACGTCGATAATAACTAATCATAATTTATTCATGACCTTGCTTTTTTATTTCTTTTTTTTGTAGTGAGAAACATCCGGTTACAATAAGTTATTCTCGACTAGTGATATTATCTACATTTTTTTATACCCTTGCAGAGGGTATTATAATTTTGGTCAAAAGTGTGCAACGCAGTGAAGGAGACGTCTCCGACCCTATAAAGTATATATATTCTTGATCAGGATCACCTCCTGAGTTGATATAGCCATGTCCGTCTGTCCGTCTGTCCGTCTGTCCGTCTGTCTGTTTCTACGCAAACTAGTCTCTCAGTTTTAAAGCTATCGAATTGAAACTTTGCACACACCCTTCTTTCCTTTGCACGCAGTATATAAGTCGGAACGGCCGGGATCGGCCGACTATATCCTATAGCTGCCATATAACTGATTGATCGGAAATGCCATAACTTTCGTGTTTGTAAAGTTAGGAAGTTGAGATTTTCTATGGGTCTTATATTTGGCCAATCAATCCGACTCACCAAATTTCATAAGGATCGGCCGACTATATCCTATAGCTGCCATATAACTGATTAATCGGAAATGCCATAACTTTCGTGTTTGTAAAGTTAGGAAGTTGAGATTTTCTATGGGTTTTATATTTGGCCAATAAATCCGACCTACCAAATTTCATAAGGATCGGCCGACTATATCCTATAGCTGCCATATAACTGATTGATCGGAAATGCCATAACTTTCGTGTTTGTAAAGTTAGGAAGTTGGGATTTTCTATGGGTTTTATATTTGGCCAATCAATCCGACCTACCAAATTTCATAAGGATCGGCCGACTATATCCTATAGCTGCCATATAACTGATTGATCGGAAATGCCATAACTTTCGTGTTTGTAAAGTTAGGAAGTTGGGATTTTTTATGAGTATTAAGAATGCATTATATGAATAATTTTGGAGAATATAATTTACAGAGTATTCTGCAAGGGTATATCAACTTCGGCTCCGCCCGAAGTTAGCTTTCCTTTCTTGTTGGTAGCTTACTCCGTCAAAACAGAATAATTCAAAAACATGGTTTTGATTATATTTATCTTTAATTTTAATGTATGTATGGAGTGTATGGTTAAATCAAAACAAAGATTAATTTTTGAAGTACACTACCCAGTCAAATTTAAAAATTCCAAGGGAGCATTCTTTAAGAACAATTTATTTAACAAAATAAGGCTGTGCCTTAGGACTATACAAACAATTTAAAAAATTTATTGGGCTTACAACAATCGCATTTCAAAAGATTTTATTTTTTGTAATACTTTTATAATGCTTGTAAATAAGTTAAATTTTTAATTAAGTAATATTAAAGTAATTTATGCGCAATGTTTGCTTCTTCAAACTTTTTTTTCCCCTCATTTTTTTTTTAATAATACAATTTTTTAAATAATGCAAAATATCTTGTTAGTACATAAAATAATATATATTACTTTTTATTAGTTACGTTGTAAGAGATAAGGGATGCTAACGTTGCCTGAGATGGGTACAGTTCTGATTGTTGAGAAGTGATGAAAACTCTGCTAGCAGTTTAGCCTGGACTTAAGCCAAAAAATGTTAAGTGTAAAAAAAATGTATTATATTTTTACTTGTAAAGTAAAATAGTTTGAAAACTATGTTAGACTTTTAAGTACAAATTTGTCTATAAATTCAATTGGGTAAATTTGTACCCGACATATATACTGCGTGCAAAGGAAAGAAGGGTGTGTGCAAAGTTTCAATTCGATATCTTTAAAACTGAGAGACTAGTTCGCGTAGAAACAGACAGACGGACAGACAGACGGACAGACGGACATGGCTATATCAACTCAGGAGGTGATCCTGATCAAAAATATATATACTTTATAGGGTCGGAGATGTCTCCTTCACTGCGTTGCACACTTTTGACCAAAATTATAATACCCTCTGCAAGGGTATAAAAATAGCTAAGTAATTGAACTAACTATAAGGGAACTATCAATCAATTCGTATCCACACCTCAAATCTTACATATATAGTTCGAATTTTCCTCTTTTAATATTATAGCTATTATAAATAATGATATCTAACTAATATTTCATTGAAAACTTTACTTTATTGTCTTTACAGTGTATAATTATCATGAATTAGATAAATAAATTGCCGTAAATTTAAGACTTACTTTTCACGTCAAATGAATCTCTAAGTTATAACTTTACCTAAAAATGTTTTTATACCCTTGCAGAGGGTATTATAATTTTGGTCAAAAGTGTGCAACGCAACGCAAATTAAAATATAACCAACGTATGACCTTGAGTAATTCAATAACACTACAATTATTGTTTAACAAGGTCGATACAAAACCAACATAGATAATCTATAACTTCAAATTAGATTAAATTACTATAATCCAAAGTTATGAATCATACAATTGCAATTCCCACATGATTAGATGGATATCACTCTAAATAAAAGCTTCATCGTTTTAACAACTCATTTCCAACTATATATATTTACTTAAAATTACTAAAAATTAATTGTCAAAGGCAAAATATTGGCAATGAATGGAGTCAAACTAAGCAAGCATAGGAAATTATGCTTGCTACGATTGAATTTATAAAACTAGGAATAAGAAAATGCAAAATGAGAATGAAAATAAAAATGGCTAGACAAAATGTAAATAATAAAATTGACATTTTTAATGTATTATTATTATTTTATATAAATTCATAGTATATAATTCAAGGCCTTGAAGATTGGCCATTACATGTCTCAATTTTTTCTTTCGCTATCAGCAAACGAGGCACATTTAACTGGAACTTATCCGTAAGCATTTAGCGCTTGAATTCTGCTAGTTGTCATTGGTTTCGGATGGTTTTGAGCCTGTAAACATTACAAAATAAAAAAAGGAAATGTGAGAGATTTGAGACCGAGTACTTAAGCAGTTGATGAGCGCAGAGTAAAAATAATGAGACTCACCGCCAATAGACAATCGTCCGGTAGCTCGAGAAACCACAAACAGCAGGACCACCAGGACCAAAACAGTCAGGACCAAAACGCCAATGGCCACCTGCATGCCGAGAATTGATCCCGCTTCCGAATCGCCATCCGAATCGCAGCTCGGTGCTTTGCTCGAGGAATTGGCTTGCAAACCAGGATCCTTCACGTCATCCGGTACGTCATCAATGACAATCTCTTTCTGGTTGCCACTGTCTTCCCAACCGAAAACTTACAAATGGAGTATAAATGTATATCAAAGGAAAATATTAATAGGCTTTGAATTGTGTCACCTTCCAAATGAACTATTGAAAATTATCGTGAGCTGGGCTGCATATCCATGATTTAAGGTGATTTAAATATACTTCAAAGTTGGATTGCTAGCCGTTCAGACATTTAAATAACTAGGGTTGTGAGTTTATTCCACAATTAAACGTTAAGAAAATTAAAAACTAAAATGAATCATCTTGGAGCACTTACAATCCACATGGATAACAAATTTGGCCACCAAGTTAAGAAATTCCATTCCTGAGCACATTAGTTCCAGTTTATCGTGCTCGCGCGTTATTTGAAACTGAATTTCCCTCATGAAATAGAACTTTTTATCTTTATAGATACTATCTATGTGAATATGGAGATCCTTGATTTGATCCTGCGGTTTGCTGAATATCCACTTTGGCAGGTTACTACGGAGGAGGCATTGGGCTTTGAACTCAGTTCCCTCCCTAAAGCGGTTTACGTTATTTGGCATCGAAATCAAGCGGATGATGGGGTGTTTCTCTGCCAGAAATTCAAACAAAACGAAAGTATTTTATTAGAAAACAGAGGTCTGTGAGATTAATCATATGTAAAAAATAAGGTTTAATAAAGTTTACCAAGTAACAAATTATAGTTTTTACAAAGTGATCGGACTATCCTAATTTGTGCCACTCTAATTTAGTTTAAGTTGGTTGTAAATAGGACTACAAATTGACTTATAAATTGCAGTTTTGTATGCATTTACTGCCAGAATCACTACAACGTATTTATAGAATAATATTTATAACCAAATAACTGTCTTAAAAATGGGATTGATTTTATTTTACTATTTTGTTGAGAGGAAAATAGTTCTACGAGGTCGGTAGAGCTCGTTGTGGACGGGCTTTTTGATGTCTCCGTTGAGGGCGATTCCCCGTGCCCCGATCCTTCCGCACCAAAATCAGAATCATTTTCAAGGGTTATCCTGTTGGCCAGGACACCAGTCACAAAGCCGCAGATCAGTGCACAGGCCACAAACTTTTTAAAGAACATTCTCGCTTAATTTGTTATTAATGGTTTCTTATCCCGAATTTTAAATTTATTTTCAATTTAAGGCAGAAAAACTAGTTTGTTAAGGCGAACGCCTCAATGAAGACTGAAGTAAAGTTAAATCCGCAAATCCGAATGGGTTTGGTGTTCCCCTTGTCGTAAAAAAATGTTGCTCTCTAATCTTTAATGTATTATTGTTGCCATTGCTCGCAGTTTTTTTTCGTAATCTAGGCTTGCGAGTGCTTAAAGTCCCCCAAAAACCAGAAAGCTGCTGTATAAAATGGCATAATATTTGGGGATGACAA